AGCACTGAGATGTTAAAAGCGTGAACAGGAGCTGGAAACCTAAATACTCCACTACAGCACTGAGTAGCATGACTAATATCTGTCCTCAGCAGAAGGCAAGACAGCATACGGCACTTTTCTGAATGGTGGCCTAAAATAGTAGTAGCTCTCTGAGTTTTGTCTACACTGTATTTCCATTGGCAACAACAAGAGGGAAGATCAAAGTCACCAAAGAGCTTCCCAATGCTAAATAGCTATATAGATAAGGATTCCTTAATCTTGGGAAAAAATGACTAAAAAGGGGCATGTCAGAAAACAATAAAATCATAATTAGAATAGAAAAGAGAAATAGGGAATGACTGTTTGTTGCTTCTCCTAGCACAAGATTAAGGAGGGTAAATGATGCTGATAGGTTGTAAGTATGAAATGAACACGAGATACTTTTTTCACACAGTATGTTGCTAAACTGTGGAACCACTCGCCACAGGGCATGGTGGCTGTCCATAGGTGTGTATACAAGATCAAAACAAATGCCGAGGAGGAATCGCTATCTGCTTTCTCCATCCGGATACTCTTCCGAAAGCATCCACTGTTGACCCTGTTGGAGACAGAGGATTGAGCTAGAGGGACTTTTTTGATGTTTAATGAAGTTTGGCCATTTTTCTGCTGTAACATTATGCACCTCTGAAAATCACGAGAAAAATCAAAGGAAGTTCCCTAACATCAGCATAAGAATAAATTTGGCCTATTGTTTGTCTATCTGTTGTCCATTTTTCTGCTCCTTAAAAGATCTGATAAGCTTTCTTTCAAAACTGTCACCATCATTTATTTCTCCGGCAGGCTTGAGCAGTTTTTCAGTGTTTTAATATCTCTTTGTGGAAAGCATCTGCCCTTTTCTTTATGAATAGGTCATTAATGTTTACAAAAAGTTGGAAAAGGCTGCTTTTCAAGAGCCAAATCTGCCTACTTTTTCATTTCTGAGGTGCAAAGCTATGAGTGGTCTGTTGTGAAAAACAGCTTACAAAAGCTTTGCAAATGCAAATGAAAGAAAATAAATATGTCCCTTATTTGTTAATAGGGAGCGAGGAACAGCACAAATTTGTGATTTTAAAAATTAAAAAGGGGTGTGTAAAATTTGTTATGGCCAGGGCAGTTTCCAGTGGGAAATAGGAGCCAAAGAGGAATTTTCAAACATAATATAACTAAATCAAGGAAACAAAAAAGTTCCTTTTCACTTACACAGAAGCCTTGTTGAAAGAGAAATACTTGTGGGACATGAGGAATGAAAAATGTCAGCATGCAACTGCCTAAGCTTGCCCGATTTGTAGCTCCCACCTCATGGCAATTGCTAAGGGTGTTGTAAAAGAGCCTCTTTGTCTCTGGAGAAAGTATTGCTTTCAAAGACAAGAAAAATCCACAAGCAACCTCTCACTTTGACACACAGGTCATGACATTAAAAGAATAATGTGAAGAATCACAAACCACCGGTTTCAGTTAGGAAAGCAAATGGCTTAGTAGGAGGGGGGGAGTGTTATTTAAGTTATGATCTGCTAACACTCTGTTTACATATATCTAGTTCCTTCCTTAAAAAAAAGACACCTTTTAAAGTCCTGTAGGACGACCTGAAGAAGACAAAACTCTTCAGCTGAGTCAACAGTTTGCAAAGGTGGGACAACATAATTTTTTAAAAGAGATATTTTTTGTTATCCCCGCTAAGGTTTGTAAAAGCAACGTTTCATTCCAGACGGGAGATGCCAGCATCATAAGTCAGTGCAAAGTGATCCAGACGCTGGAATGAGCACATTTCTTGGCGTGCGCTTTGGTAAGCTGGAGCTTGTGCGGCAAGGCTGCCAAAAGGACTGGGGGGGAGCGGGGAGATTGCACCGTGCCAGCAGGGCTGGCACACAATCCCACCTCTGACGTGGGAAGAGTTGACAGCTTTATAAATTTCGTCATTTTGCCAGACTCAACCTTGGGAACCGTTTTTGTTCGAACCGCTCAGAAAATCCTGGTTCTCGCAAAACAGGACAGTGAGGTATTTCCTCGCTCGGAGATAAGAGGTGGCAAAGCCTGGCACTACCCTGACAGGCACGTTTGTGAACAAAATGCTTTGAGCTACATCCTTTCCCTCCACTGACGCCGGAGATGTCCGTGATAACACCAGGAGTGGGCCCTTGGCGCCCAGTTTGCTACACTGCAATTAGAGAAAAGTACTGGAAAGCGATTGAGGTAATTTTTTTCTAAAAGAAGCTGGAGGAAAAAGAGCAAGAGAGGCCCTCAATTCGGCAATGCTCTCTGGGCAAAACAGAAGTGAATTTTTAGGAAAGAGGGAATGTGGGTTTTTTAAGGTGCTTGGAAGTCTGAGCTTCTCAGCTGAACTGGATCTGAGACTTGTACTCATGAGTAAATGCCCAGATGTGGGTCCACAGTTACATATGAGAAATACACCCCCAATTACATTTCTAACTGGGATTCCCCTTTCGGCTCTGCAGTGGCTTTGGTAGCTCCGGCTGCTTCCCTGAGTGACTATAATGTAAAAAGACAAGAAGATATCTTCTGAGTGCTGAACAGCCGGGTATTTCCAGAGCAGAAACCCCACATGCAGCTAGCCTACAAAGTTAAACTCTCAAGTTCTGACAAGAGAAGCAGAACAGATGACGTGGTCTGAAGAACAGCCAAAGGGAACAGCTGAAATGCAGCTCTTCGGAGATATTTTTGGAGCAGCAGTAGCATCCGACATTGACAAAATTAAAGCTGCTACTATTTATTATTTATTATTTATTATTTATTATTTATTATTTATTATTTATTATTTATTAGTTATTAGTTATTAGTTATTAGTTATTATTGTTGTTGTTACTATTACAATTTGTAAGAAAGAAATTCACTTCCTGGAAGGTGGTTTGTAAAAGGTCATGACACCACTTAATGTTGATTTTGAGCCCCTAAGTAATTCCTCTGAATTGTCTCTCTTCGAGAGGCACAGTCAGAGGACTCCAGTCTGCGACCCAGACTCACCATATGCAGCTGGAGCTCCCATAATTAGTTTCAACCCAAGGATATTTCTCGGTTTGAGCAAGTGCTGGGGAATTGAACCACAGGGAAAAGGGAGGTGCCATTGTTCTTGGCACCCACAATAAAATTAAATTAAGAAGCTTATAGTGATAGACGCCTGTTCCAGGCAGCCAACACAAGGTCTTTGGACGCTTCAGATCTCAAGTGACAGGAGATTATTCGATTAATCACTGATTAATTCAGTCCCTAGGTAGTATGGCTATTTTGACTGGAAATTAGATTCTCTGAATCAGATACAGGATACATTTGCAGGTTTGGTTAAGTAGATATAGTTGAATATTTCAGCTCATGGAATCCACATTTAATGCCAAAATAGGTATCTATGCTTTCTTGGAAATATTATAAGAAAGGAACTAAGGAGGAGTCAGGAAGCCACAGATTAGTGAATCTGATCTCTGTGGTAGGCAAGATCTTTCCGAAGTTAATAAGGGATGAGATCACAAAACATCTGGAGAATATGAGAGGTTTTCTGCTTTACTTTGTTTGTATGTGTTTTTTTTTTTTTTAAAGAAGAAGAAGGGGAAAAGAAAAAGGAACTTAGTCACCATGGCTTCAGAAATGGTAATGTTTGAAAAATCTGGCTGGAATTTTTGAGGAAATTACAAAAAAAGGACTTGAAACTGAAACAGTAAAATTTACTAGGCTTCCTAAAAATAATACAAACTTCACAGCACAGAAATCTGGGAGTTTCAGAAGAAAGGTCAGAGTGTATGCAATGACCGCAACAGTGTACTAGTATATGATAAAAAGCATCAGCTTTCTGAGAACAGAAGGGGGTTTCCAACTTTGAATCAGTGAGACCAAACCTCACTCAGGGAAGCTGGTCTCTGTGGAGTATCTCCTCAGCCACTAGACGGGGTCTCCTATGCACAACTTAGGTGTTATGGAAAACACATAACATTAAAATATAAAATACTGCCATAAATTTCCCCTGAGTAAAGCAAAAGAAGAAGCAGTCGCAGTTTTCTTACTAAATCTTCGGTAAACTCAGTTTCTGTCTTACAGTGCCACATTTCTAAGGAAATCCAGATGGTTGTATGCAGTAGATTCCCACCCCTTCTTCATTGTAAATTCTTAAATAGAAGGACAAAGATGATTGCAAAGAATTAAAGAGAGTTCCGGCTGGAAAAGGGCAGTTCTCTTTTAAATGCATCCAGCTAAGAGGTTTTTTTCATTTTTTGTTGTTGTTTTTTTTTTTTTTTTAACAAATGGAGCTAGACAGCAGTATGGCCCGGTCAGAGCATCAAGACCTGAGTCCTCATCTGTGACCTGGTCACTGCTCATCTTTATGTCTCCAGGTAATTAACTTCATCTCAACGTTTCCGGTTTTCCACATGCCATTCACTGTTGCTTGTTTCCTTTGTAAAATAGTCTAAAAATTGCTGGTAAAAAACAGTGGTCAAAAGTTAGGGTAGTATAATTATATTGACACTTCTGATTGGCTTAATCAGGCATCCTGAGTAAGGAATACGTTTTTTAAACTTTGGCTTTTATATCCTCCTTTTTCCATGTAATGTAAATCCTATGACTTAAAATGACCTGTTAGACAAAGTAGGATACTACTTCTTGGCATATGCTTCAGCATTGCCGAAGCTGGCAGGAAGGCAGGGCTGATTAATTTAAACCCATAATATGAGATTAGACTGAGGACTGCAAAAGCTCAGTTTATTTCCGTCTGTACTGAGCAGATCCAGATAGGTGCCCTGCAAGAGCTCGACTCTGCCAGAGCAACTTGCTGTGAATAAAGCTCTTGTTCTGCAAAGAGCCCCAGCATTTGAGAGAACTCTGTTATCACCAGGATTTATTTTCAGCTGGAAGGAAGGGAGAATAAAATCACCATCTTGGCCCTGCACAACTTTCCTGAGGAAGGGAGACACAAGAGCAAGGAGGCTCTACCAGCCTGCGTTTCCGAGGCAGCGTAGGGCACATGAAGAAGACAAAAAGGAGTTTTGAGGCGCGTCCAGCGGGTTTCCTCTCCCCCAGCGGTGACTGGAGGCAGGGAATCTTACACACTGGACCCGGCATCTTTCATGTGAGTTTTTCAGATTTATTCCGTTTATAATGATCTTTGGAAACTGCAAGCAGCATCCTGCAGAAAAGGCCTTAACGGATACTTTGTTTATTTTTTATTCCTCTTCTTGTGTCAGGAAAGATTCCAGTTTCGTTTTGTTACTGTGGAAGTTCATGTACCTCATCCAATTGTCTCCAGTCTCACTGCTTCTTATTTATTGTTACCTACTGGGAATGTGCCTTGAAGTTAGGGTTGTAGGTGCTTTCAAGGCAAATCTCCCAATTATTCCCATTTTCTGTGCTTTGGTTCATACTGTGGAGTGGTCTGGACGAACTGGACTCCTTCTGGATGAGACTATTCATCCTTTAAATGGGATGCAACTGAACCCTATAAATCAGTGCAAAAGAAAAAAATGCAAGTAGGGGGTTAACACAGCAGGCTGTGAAGGGCAGCAGCTGAGGTGAAGCACACGTTGAACTGCTGCTGCCCTGGCCGAAGGCGCAAAGTGATGGGGCAGTGATTGTGGCTGCTAACATCCAAAGTCACCCCAGCACAATTCCCAGAATTTTCTTGTCAGCACTCTTAATTCCCTTGTTCTTGTAAATCCAAATAAATGATCAACGTCAAAAATAAACAGAATACTGGAATCTTTTAGCTGGCCAAAAAGATTGATCTTTGCTGGGGAGGGGGGGAGGGATTAGCATTATTTATTTCTACTCTTAATATGTTCTTTTTAGAGTTGTTCCGCTATAGTTTTTAGTTTTTTGTGCCACAAAGTCTATTTTCTGAAAACAGAAAACAATGAGAAGAGACTTGCAAGAACACCACCAACTTCCATCTGCAAATGATTTGATACTTGCTTTCGGCAAATTTCTAAGCATTCCAGTTTTAAATAGACTTCACCCCGGTATTCTCACCAGCAATGCTGCAGTGTTGAAATAGTGACAGAATTGGGTAAAAAACATGACAAACATACTTATGCTGATAAGTATTTTTTTACATTTGAATGATTATGCTCATGTTCCTTCTTTCACTCTCCTCCTGCTTTTAAGAACATGGTTGGAAGCATGCCATTGTGTCAAATGAATCAGAAAAAAAAAAGGAAGATGTATTGCTCTGCGTTGGACAGTTGTTAGAAAAACCTTCTCCATGCCATCTTAAGCTATAGGAGGACACATCAGTTGTCCCTAACTGTACCGTGACCGTCTCCAGTGGGTCTGGGTTTGGTCTATCATGATAGAAATAAAAAAAAGGTACTGACTTAATCTGCTGTGTGCTTTCTAATATGCAGTTTAGTAATAATTTTGTATATGACATAAAGGTCTTCTTAATAGGTCAGAGAGGCTAGCGTGCATCATTTTGCTGATTTCAAAGCTTTGTATTTCTTTCTTTCCAACAGCAAAAAAGCACACAATTCCTCCACAACTTTTAATGAAAATCAAAGGTGGTTAGCTACTCTAAATGAACAATATTAGATTACTGGAGGTTAGATAAATGTGTTAGAAACAGCATGCCTTTTGGACCCTGCACTTCATGTATGCCAAGTTTAAAGGTGTCGATTTCTCTCTCTCTTGTTTCACAGAAAAAAAAAGTTAATTCCAGCATCCAAATAATGAACTATTTCCAGTGTAGATAAGGATCTCATCCGAAGGAAATATAATCAAACAGTAGAACAGTGAAGCAGTAAGTGCTTAAACCAGCTAACAAGACTGTCCCGAGCTACAGCCTGTGCCTGCTACGGTAACTGTCAGAGAAATAGTCTTGCTCCTTTGCAAGAAAAGGAGCGGCCTGGTGTTCACTTTAGTCCCTCACCATCCAAATATGTTTAAAGAGCAACATGATTAGGACAAGGATACACGGCAGTATGGGTTAGAAAAGTGCTAAGGCTCCGGAAGCATGCACCGTAAATCAGACATTTAATGGTTTAAATCAAGAACTTAAAGCAGCTGCCTCTGGGAAACATCAGGAGAACAGACCGTGCAAGGAAGCCTGATGAAAATTAATTCTGTGGGCAAAGACTGTTATCTCAGGGACTTTATGAGAATCATAAAAATGAGGTGCTGAACTTTATAATGCAGTGTTCTAGCGTTCTTATGCTACGAATGCTTTCTACAGGCTTCCCTGCTGTCATTGGATGAGTGGAGTACAAGCCTTGTTACCTCAGGCAAAAGGTAATCTGGGATACTCTTCTAACTTGAGTTATTAAGGCCTTTCAACCTCTGTTTTGATATCCGTGTAAAAGATACTGACATTTGGAGGTACTATGCATGTTTACAACACCCAGGGTTATTCTGCAGAAATTCAAGCTGGTTTTGGAAGGGAACGCTGCTCTGTCTGGGAAACGGTCTTCTTAAAATGCTCCTCTGACACCACAAAAGCGAGCCAGTGTAAATCTATGCAAGCTGGCACTGCAACGCAGACGGTTATCCCTCTGTTATTGCGCGTCCCAGTGATGCACGTCCGTGTCACAGCACAAACATTGATTAGGCCGCAGTGAAAAGAGATCAGAGGAATGAACCCAGTTGCAAACTCATTTTTTATTTGCCAGTTTGATGTTAACCTAGGTCGGCTCCTTGTAGGGATGGTGCAGGAACAGGAGTGAGCCGATGGGGATTAGTAGATAGTTCAGCAGCGTGCCTGAGTTATCTTGACCTAAAATGTTCGTGATACTACAGCCCTGGTCTTCAAAGTGACTTAACAGAAGTATTTAAAACTGATTTTTCAGTTCTATGCATCCACAGCAGTATTATGCGCCATGTTACTCCCCCCCCCACACACACAAACAGTAAGAACTGGAAAAGAATGAGTAAGCATATATTTTCCCACCAAAATCTCAGCAATTTACTGGTAGCGCTGCTTCTCTCATCTCTCCAGGGCATAATTACAAGTCAGTAAGCTCCTGCTGCATGAAGATGCAGAGCTGTTACAAAATACAAGAAGAATTCACTGCAGACGGGTTCATACAGAGCAATGATCTCTTCTACAAGGAGTGGTAGCACGGGATTCAGGCACCAGTTAAACCTCCTTAAATCCCTCTTAAACCCTGCCATACTGAGTAAAAAATAATACATAGGAAAGCAGGTATGTTACGAGTTTCTGTATTTGTCACACATTGGATATTTGAGTTAACCACAAAAGTTTTACTAGGACAGAATTATCTGATAATCCACTTTATTTTACTTGGAGAACTGGGATTTATAAGTAGGTTAATTTAATCCCTAAAAAATAAAACATGATGTTACTATTCCCAGTAGTTTGTGGTTTAACAGCAAGTAAGTTCAGCTTTAGCCTATTTCCAGTGAGTTTGCTTATAATGTAGGTATTCTCCAGCTCACGTTCATCTTTGTGTTCAAAATAGATTCTACTTTAACTCCATTAAAAACAAAGGAGAGGATAATAAAAAGGAGTGTTTGGTTTAAAAGGATACGATTATGCTCATCTGTAACAGCCTGTCTGGAATCTGGAGGGGGGAAAGAGGTTTCGAGAAGGAATAGTTCAACGAGGATGCCGACGAGCTGGTCTGCATGCATCTGGCTGCAACATAGCTATTTGTATACTGCCTCTATAAAGAAGTTCTTAAATAAAGAGCCTTTGTTGCTTTAGAAATGCACAGGGATGTTTTTACTTTGCACCTGGTGTGTACCCTGCCTACGGTCCCAGATGCAGACAGTAAAGCCTGGGCTCATCCAGCCATGAGCACACGGTGATACTGGGCTGCACTGGTGTCCTCTGGGAGAGGAGACACGAGCCCTACCTGTATGCAGAGCTCAGAGCTGCTTCAACAAATGCTCAGTTCCATGTTAAGAGAAGAAAGAGGCACTGCAGGCACTGTATGAAATTGGATTTAGAAAACTCCCACCTCGACTGAAAGTATTGGGCGTCACTAAACACAAATCTCTCAAGTACAATAAGTAAAAAAGAGGAGGGAGAGGCAACACTTATCTACCTCACAAGATGTCATATGTTACATAGAATAATAGTTCCAAAGTTTTTTTTTAATCCTGCAATGACTATGTTCTCTATAAATGCAAATATACAGATCATGTATGTTCCTTATTAATGGTTCGTTTTAAGACTGTTTGAGTCTCAAAGGCATTTGTTCTAAAAGATAAAAGTTTAGCAGTTTCAACCAGATTAACTTGGTACTACCATTAAAATAATGGTGCAGTAGCTCTCCTTGCGGTAAGGTTGTCGTTCATGCCTTTCTTCTATCAACAGTGCATATTAGATATTTTTTTCTCAACTCTAGCACGCACCTGGTTGCAGCGTTTAATATTACTGTCTTCTGTGCTAAGAGGAGTCTTCAGGAATGAAGTGGAAGTGGTAAAAGTTTCAAAGGCAACAGAAAACTAAATCTACAACTTATAAAGTCTTGTTCCAGAGGAGACCTTTTTTCCTCCAGAGCTCCATGGGAAGAATAAAAGTAGTAAAATTCTCATTTAAATCAGTAAAACTGTTACATCTTGCATACTGCTATAGAACAATAACATAAGCTAATTTATGTCAAGCCAAAAACGAATCGTAGAAGTTAAATTACAGTCAGTAAAGGTTCCCTAAATGTCTGCAATGCCAGTAGAAAATATTTTACTGAAGCATGAATCACAAAAGCACGTAGACTACATTTGTATGAGTCGGTGTAATGCTATCAGAGACTCGAGGCCAAGCTAGTAAGAAAAAGTCACAGTCTCTATTTTCTTGTTCATCTAATATCAAATACTTCAAAAATATTTAAAGAAAAAGCAGGAGAGGAAGGGAACTATTCGAGTTCAGAAGAGAGTAGTATACATGTGTTTGCATGGGTGCACACACACATATAGCTACCATATATCAAGCTGAAGTAATACCACTTTGTTAACACTGCCTTGCAGAATCCTGCCTTTTGGTTATCGCCTTGCCAAACTTAAACCATTTTTAACTCAGTTTTCTGTCACAGGGATGAGGCGAAGCCTACATTAGATGGTTTCGTGAAAATTTCAGTCAAAAATTCTGGGCTGTGTCTGAGCTAGAAGCTAAGGAAATAAGTATACAAACAACTGTCTGCAGAGCGGCAGGCTGCTGTGCATCAGCTGCACCTTGGTGGCTGGCTGAAGTTAACGTATTTCACTTCTCTGCTGGGTGGGTTAAGTACGCACACACAGTTAAGTAAAGTACCACGCCTCAGCAGAGGAATGGTAACCCAGTAAATTGTGCTAATTCAGTCAGATCTCTTCCAGAAAAAGAGAAGTCTGCAGGAGCTGCGATACTTTCAAATGCACAAAGATATCTCTGAAAAGGAAGGGATTCTTTCTTCTCCGTGCCCGCTGGCGACAGATGCAAAGTCATGGACTTAAATCAAGTAATAGAAGTTTGGGTTAGACACTAGAAAAATATTTTTAATACTAGTGATAGTAAGATGTGGAATAGGTTCTCCTGGGAAGTTGTGGAATCTCATTTACTGGAGATTTCTGTGAAGAGGTTACACAAACATTCCCCATGAATGATTTAGGACCAGCTGAATCTGCCTGGAGGAGGGTTATGAACTGGAGCATCTCCCAGGGTCCTTTACAGACCTACTTTCTACTGTTCCGAATTAATCTTGGTAGAGGTTTCCACTGAACTCGGTAAAGGTGCCTCTCTCTCCGCTGTGACTGCCTCTGGCCTCATTGTTTCCTTCAGCTGATTTGTGCTCTCTGACACCAGTAGAATATAATGAAATAGATATTATGCATCCTTCTCCCCTGTTGGTTATATTTCAATTATACAAGTTTCTTAAACCTTGAACAGTGAACTCCTGACACAGCTTAAGGGGAAAAAATACTGACCCATAATAATCTTATTAGGAAAGTCATTTAAACCAACCACGTATTTAGCTGTAAGTCAGAAAACTGTTTCACCTGAAAGAGTATGATGTTCCTCAAACATCTTACATCTTCAATTTTCCTTACGGTGATATATTTCCAAGTACTCAGTTTACCAGTACGTTAATTTGGTTCTCCACATGCCGGGTACATTGCTGTTGACTATAGCACTGTGCCTCACAGTGGCATGTCTCAGCTCTGTTTTGCAAACTGATCCAAGGATATAGTTTTTATTCATTTTTCTCAAGAAAGTTAGAATAGGACTGAGAGGATATTGAAGTATGCGCTCTGGCCTCTGAATTTGTTTGATAAGAATTCTTGATTCAAAGGGCAGAACAAGAAGCATCATATTCTCCATAGATATTCTGCTACAAGCATTGAGACAATTGCCTTTTATAGGAAAAAATGAGATTTCGTAAGAGTCGCAGGTCCCAGCCAGCAAGTCTGAGCAACTTATGCACTGGGAACCCGCTCAGGAAAATCAGCTCTAGAGGTAAAATAATACTCCAGATCTTAGGGACTAAGTCTTGTTCACATTACACCCAGCTTACATCAAACCTTTTGCAAAATTTAGGACATTTCAAGAGCTACACAAAGTTTCATAAAAGTTAAAGTATCATCCAATTCCTTGGTCTGCACCTTCCAAGCAGGTAAGGAATTCGGATTCCTTTCATCTCCAAGAATCTCCAAGAATGCAGCTGAAAAGAATGAAAGAATTCACTGTATCATTTCCTCTCTAAGTATCAATATTCTCATTTTCATGTCAGAGACCTAGGAAACAGAAAGACTAGGAGATCATAGTCATAGTTCACACAGTAAATCCATGGGGCACATCAAAGAACAGATTTAGATTAGTGTCAAAATGATGAGATTTTTCTAGGACAAATTTACTTTCTAAACGAGTCTCTCCTCTTTAAACACACAATTCTCCTTGAAATACTACATGTTTCATCTTCAGTTACAACTATTGAATATGATGGCTGGGTGGTTATTAGCAACAGTATTAACATTAGCAGTATTCACTGTCTGAATTTTAGGGGCACCTGAAGGTACAAAGTGAGAGCAGAACCTCATTGTGCGAGACACAGTACATATATGCATATAGGAAGACCTAGTTCCAGCCATAGGAAATTTACTGTCTAATTACACAGAAGATGATAAAGCACAAAAGGATTAAATATCTTATCTACAGGGTCCCACAGTCAGTCTGTGTCAAGGTAAGGCATCCAGTCTGTGCCTGCCCAGTGCTCTCCTCACCAGCCCGTGCGTCATCTCCTGTATACCCCGTACTCAACACGTCTAAGGAAAGGATCACTAAGAATATCAACAATTTTATTTATCTATATTTAGAAACTAGGCACTGCCTGATACTTAACACACCCTTTGCTTGATGTTACAGAGGGCCAGCTTGTTTGGCTCAATCAGCTGCCTACAAAGTCCATACGGCCACCCTAATTTGCTTGCATAGCTCAAAGGCAAATCTACCTCAGTAAAGAGTAACAGCACAGTCATTTATCATCCTCTTTTTTTTAAAAAGGCTATGCTATCAAAGAAGATGAAGGTTGGAGGAAGACATTGCATTTGCTGCGTAGTCTGAAAGCTCCTCTAAAGGCTATGCAAGGTAATGAAAGGAATAAAACCAAGCTGACACACTGAACGCAACAGCCCTGAAGCACAGGATAGGAAAAGTGTTCTGTTTTTTTTTTAATGTCACAATACAGATGTCAGCAATACATCATACAGATGTGCTATGTGGATGGATTAAAATAACCTGAGTGAATAACTCTCATAAAATAGTAGGTCACAGAAGACGAAGAGAAAGTGGTAGGCAGGCAAAGGGAAGCAAAGGAAAAGTAACTACAGCCAGAGTGGCGATGACTCATGTTACTACAAGAGCTGTGACTGAGAGCCAAGTTTTTCTTATCCTGCAGATTGTCTATAAGACTTTGGTCCTGCAGCTGCTAAAGACATGAGTTTCCAGTTCTTGAGACCTGGAGTGTATGGCTTATCCTTTAAGAAATCTGGAAAAGAGGAAAGTCAGTGAAACTGCCTTCCCAGATCAAACCAATGCACAACCAAACAGACAACATTCTGCAGAGATTTCTCTGTAGAAAGTGGCA